AACGAAAAGCTTGCGCAGAAAATTCACCTCGAGCAACAATAAACTGGCGCATGAAGATGTTCGCTGGAAGAGGCGCTTCCTGAGCAAGGTCTTTTTTCTCAAATCTGCCAGGTCTCAGACCTTTGAGTTGCCTGCCAATTTGTACACGAGATGATCGACCAGATCCAAATGATATGTTCTCCTTCTCCTTGACAAGATCGAAGGCCAAACCTCTACGACCACCGACACTCAGAAAGTATGAAAGCGGGTACATTCTCTTCATGCTTGGAAGAAAGAATAAACGATCATCGATTCTTCGCAGCATCCGAGAATCTTCTACATACCCAACTTGGCCATTAGCAGATATATGGTCTCCGAACAAAAATGATGGTTTGACAAATTGATCCAGACCCGCAGGGGTTTCTAGATCCAGATCAGTGATCAGAGCCCTAAGGGTGGAACACCCGCCAAACCTAATTAAATGTGTCCGCTCCAAGCTAGGGAAAGTGCATAAAGGAATCTCCCTGCGAAGACCAAAAGCTCTCCCTACTTTTGGATCATTAGTGTGGTTGAAATGCTGCTCCTGGATCGTCAGTATAACTGAAATGTTGCTCTGGCAGAAGTGGCATATTGGGAAAAAGCACTGCAAAACAAGAAACAGAAGTTAGTAACTAAAGGGAACTGCCAATGGAAGGAACTAGACTAGACGCAGACTTTAAAAGTTGTGTTTCTAATCTTGAACCTAGGCTCCCAAATCTGTGTTTCTAATCTTGAACACAGACTTCAAGATCTGCGTTATTTATCTTAAACGCAGACCTCAAGATCTGCATTATTTATCTTAAACGCAGACCTCAAGATCTGCGTTATTTATCTTAAACGCAGACTTCAAGACTTACGTTATTTATCTTAAATGCAGACTTCAAGATCTGCGTTCTTTATCTTAAACGCAGACTTCAAGATCTGCGTTCTTTATCTTAAATGCAGACTTCAAAATCTGCGTTGTTGATCTTAAACGTAGACTTCAAAATTTACGTTATTCAAGATCTACGTTTTTAACGCAGAGTCCAAACTCACGATCGGAGTTCATGATTAACGCAAAGTTCCAACTGTGTGTTCCAATTACAAAGAAAAGAGTCATCTTCCTCGTTAACAAGAACCCATCTAGGGTTTTCAGAAAACTTGCCGAAACAATTTGCCATGGACGCCACTTACCACAACAGCGGGGCCCGTTTGACAGCGACGGTAATGTTGAAGCACTCATGAGAGCCGCAACACCACCGGTGTTCTCATCCGGCGATGTCTCCAAAGCCACCTTGGCGATCTTCTTGGAACCCGAACTTATCCTCCTAGGCGCCATGCGTGTAGGTGATCGGAGAAGACGGAGTCCGTCGGAGATTCAATTGAAATTCAAATGAGAATTCTTGTTCTTGGAATCAAGCCAAAAGTAGAAAGAGTCAAATGACTCTTGATGTGACCACACAGGTCTATTTATAACAGCCGCCAAGCTGTTAAATCGATGCGGGATTCTAGGAGAGAATCCCAACCATCGTTGAAACGCTATCTTTCGCGTTTATAGATAAGATCGGTTGGACTCTAACGCAAAGTTTACCTCTGCGTTCAATCCTTCAATCGCTAGGCCTAGACCTGCGTTATGATGGTTTTTAACTCTGCGTTTCGAACCTCAAACGCAAAGGTTATCTTTTGCGTTGCCAATTCTAAACAAAGGATTCACCTTTGTATTGTCAAAAATGACACTTATTCTCTAAGTTTAAGTTCATGAACTCTTTTAACATGGCATTGTTAAACTTCTGTATTTCCTCAGCAGAGTTTAAATCCTCGTCAGGTTAATATTACACCTCAGACGAATGTCATCCTCACAGAGTTTGAATTTAGCTGGCATCAATACCTATACGGCTATAATTCCTCTGTCAGAATCCACTTATCAATTCTCATCAATGGAACGATAAGTCTCCAAAATCATTCAAACCATGATCAATTTACTAACTCTCCCCAACAGAGTAGTAAATATCCAATTTATCGGCTTACTTTAATAGAGTGATAAAATTCCCCAAATCTTATTCAAACCACAAGTAATATAATTCATCACTTCGATGATTAAACATTTAGCAATTCTCCCAAGCGAGGCGCTAAATATCTTCCCCACAGATGTCATGTTAATATTACACCTCTGACAAAAATCAACTTATCGACTCTCCTCAATAGAGCGATAAGCCCTCAAAATTGCCCCGATCGCAATATTTCTTCTTGTCATGTTAATATTATACCTCTGACAAAAATCAACTTATCGACTCTCCTCAATAGAGCGATAAGTCCTCGAATTGCCCCGATCGCAATACTTCTTCTTGTCACGTTAAAACTACACCTCTGACAAAAATCAACTTATCGACTCTCCTCAATAGAGCGATATGCCCTCAAAATTGCCCCGATCGTAATATTTCTTCTTATCATGTTAATATTACACCTCTGACAAAAATCAACTTATCGACTCTTCTCAATAGAGCGATAAGTCCTCGAATTGCCCCGATCGCAATATTTCTTCTTGTCACGTTAAAACTACACCTCTAACAAAAATCAACTTATCGACTCTCTTCAATAGAGCGATAAGTCCTCAAATCGCCCCGATCGCAATATTTCTTCTTGTCATGTTAATATTACACATCTGACAAAAATTAACTTATTGACTCTCTTCAATAGGACCATAAGTCCTCAAAATTGCCTTGATCATGATGTTTCTCCTGCCAAGTTAAAACTACACCTCTGGCGCTTATAGACTTCTTTCAGTGTTCAAAACAAAAAGAAAATAACACAGGAAGAATTCTACTAGTCAGCCCTATTATGGGAAAAGAATAATATATTAATCCTCAGCAGTTTGAAATTTTCTGGAGTTATCTTAAACGTTAATAAAGAGAATTTTCTGCATCAGGACTATTGTGGAGATCTATTCTAAGTCGGGAATACATCTCGGGCATTTCTCGTGATTTGTTACCTAAAATCAAAACATGATAAATACAAGAAACAATGAGAAATCAATATCACTTTTTATTCAAAAGCCAAAAGAAAGTGATGCAAAAACCTTGTTCTTGTCAAACAAAAAGAATAATGCACAATTAAGCCCCTGGGCCAGTAAAATTGAAAGACGCGAGCCGGGACTTAATCACTGATATCTTCTCCTCATGAGCAGCTTGTACCAGTACTTCAGCTCTCTTCTTAAGTTCGTTTTCATCCGGTGTCGTTGTGATAGCTTCTTTTTGGAGAAGTTCAAGATCCTGGGCTGATGAACGATAAGTGGCGTAGGTCTTCACGCTTTCTAGTGTGAGCCTTTTCAAAATCTCTTCTTCTCGCGCGAGCTCAGCCTCGTGTCGAGCCAACTCCACCTTGAGTCGATCAATTTCTACACGAGATGTTTTTATGGCAGTGTTAGAAGCAACTACGGCCTGCTGCTTTTGAAAACATTGCCCCTGTAAGGATGCGATCTCAAACTCCTTTTCAGTGATGCTCTCTTGAAGAACTTCATGTCGGCGAGTCGCTTCAGCCCTGAGATCATCGAAGGTTGATGTGATTTGGGCAGCAAGGTCAACACTGTACAACTCCTCCAAAGCCCTCAGATCTTTCTCCAATTGAGAGAGGTTCTCTGAGTAGTGCTGAAACCAACGAGCGTTATCCACATGTCGAATACTACCCAAGAAAGGCATGAGTATTGGTTTAAAAGAGTCAAACGTAGCTCGTCCGACACCAACCTCCTCAATAGCCACCTTCATCATGTCCTCTAAATTTCACACAAGAATCTTAAGCACGGAAGGGATAACCACTGGGCTTAAAGACTTCATAGGAGATGTTGTTGAGGAGCTCAGAATCATAGACCCTGGTGCAAAGACGGTGAGTGACGACCGAGAAGAAGCCGGGGAAGCCTTAGAAATATCCAGTTGTGAAGGACTGGAAGGAAGAACCATGAGTGTCCCTGCTTGGGCTGAACTCAACGCACTCTCTGTCCCCGTAGACTTAAGAGGAATCATTAGCGTAGGGGATTCTTCTTGCAAAGAAGCAGTCGTTACCGGTGTTGGTTCAGAAAGAGAAGCAGCAGCTGCTTGCTGTTCAGGAGATAAAGTCTTATCAACGGTCTCGTGGGTCGGAGAACCTACACAAAAGAACAGTTAGCATAAAAGAAAAAAAAGAAATTTAGAGAAACCAGCAGGTGTAATCTTTACCAAGAGGGGAAGAAGGAACATAAGCAGACGCTTTGTCAGAAGAAGGCGGTGGCGGATCAGCCCAACCGGTGGAATCCTCATCACTTTCATCTTCCTCTTCATTACCATCACCTCCCTCCTCACCAGCACCATCGTTAGGGGAAGAAGTCCCGTAGTCTAACGGTTCCTCATCATTCGCTGTTGATAATCCAGGAGAACTTGTAGTGGCATCCTCTTTAGTCATAATGCCAGTCGTTGGGCTAGGAATAGCAGCCTCCATCCATGGCAGTAACACAGAAGCAGCGGGAGATTGAATTTCATCTGCAGGAGGCCTAGTCTCTCTAACAGGAGACACTGCAAGTGACGTCTCCAGAGTAGCATCTGAAGCCTGATCTGGAAATGGTGAAATGATAGGTTCCGTAGCGGGAGAAGACTCTACATCCACAATCAACGACTCGTTCCCGCCCTCTTCTTCCAAAGGATGATAAGAGGAAAAGTCACTAGAAAAAGCGGGACCCTTAGAGTGAAGTCTTGTGTGGAGGGGTTGATTAGCGTCAGCAGATTCTTGCTCCCCCTCTCTCCCAGCAGATTTGAAAGCATCCGCCATTAGTTTCTGAGAAGGAGGGTCTACTAATAGTTTCCTACGAGTACGTTTCTCGTACTGAACTGCTTCTTCTTCGGTAAGAGCCCTCTTTCCAGCTGCTTTTGTTCTTGGAGTTTCAGCAGCCTTAGGGCTTGCTACTGGAGCACTCTCTGGTTCCAGATCCCCTGCTCCTTCTTCAGCCTCACCTTCATAAGATAAGAACTCATTGATTCCCTTCAGACGAGATACCCGGGATCCTCTTCTGGATGAGTACATCCTCCTAATTTCCCATAGCCCCGACAAATTCAACCTGTAATCAGGTATCTTGGAAGCTGTGTGATACCAGTTACAAAAAGCTATAGACGAAAGATAATTGGGCGTCTTGTGAGGTAACCTAAAGGTAACTCCAGTGCAGCCTGCAGTAGAGTAGTACCAGGCCCTAGCTCCTTCGTATATGTTACCAACAATTGCAAGCTGACTCCGGGGATTCCCAACATATAATTGGTCGTACCCGAACTGGCGCGCAAACCGATACGGCTGATACGGCTGATACGGCTCAATTATGCATTTGTTATTTTGCCTAAAGAGGAGATAACCTGGTCTAATGTTCAAGAGCTAGTGGAAGACCCCTCCATCTAAGCGGGTAAAACCATCTGGACCTGTCGTATCTTGGAACACTTGCCCATAGTCACCGCCTTCAAAGTCTGGGAAACAGCGGAATAGTTGATAATTGAGGTCTCTCGACAAGATTTGACGGACCCTCACTACATATGTGCCTTCCCAAGAAGCTCCTTCTAATCGCTGCACAAAAGGGATGAACCCCTCGTCCAATGGAGATGGGGCACTCATCAAAAGAGGGCAATGAGATACGTACCATGCCATCAAATAGGTATATGGCAGGGGAACTCGAGGATTTGGTGTCACCAAACTCTTCTTTCCTTCAGAATCTACCTCCTTCACCTGAATGAATTCGAGGCACAACTCCCTCAAACCATGCTGCAAACAGCAAGTCATAGCTGAAAGCAAGTTCACAGGTCTCCCGTAAGCTAAGAGGACAGCCGGGTAGACTACCTCTATCATCACAGCATCTATGGGCCTCGTAGGGATGACACATCGCTTTAGCCACAACATGAGGAAGCCGACCAACAAGGCCCTGTCAGAAATAGGCACAGCAGCCTGGTGATGGAAACTTTCAAACTCAGTCTGTGCAGGGAAATCCTCTTCCAATCCCTCGTTGATATAATGGGCCGTAGCATCGTTGATCAGAGTTTGGATTGTCTCAGGGGCACTCACGTTCCGACAAGACACATCAGTAGTTTTGTGGGATAAATTCTGGAATAGATAATCAGCCCAGGATAGCTGCTTTATACCACGTCCTTGGGCCCCCGTCAATTGAGCGCAGATTTGAAAATGACACATCACCTCCCATAGAGTGTCATAGATGTCAGGATGCTTCTCCTTCAAAATCCTAAGCTCGTTTGATCCTGGGACGAACTCCTTATAGGGCAAGTCTCCAAAAAGAAGACCTGAAACGTCATACATTTCGTGGAGGGCAAACCCCAATTCCCCCACTGGTGTGAAGAATGTACACGTCTCCGGGTTATAGTTCTCCAGAACAGCGAAAAAATTGTAATAGCTGTAGTCAACACCGCATTTGGTAGCTATTACAGGACAACCAAGCCCAGATTGAGCTAAAGATCCCTCTAACTCTGTTACCACGAAGTTCGTCATTCGTGTCCACCATCCTGTCTCGGTAGAGTGTACCCATCCAGGAGCCCTAAATACTGAGGAAGGGAATTCTCCTTTCGCAACTAGAAATCTCCGCATAAAAGTGTTGGCCATACTAGCTGTTTCTCCTAAAGGATACCCCCGTGAGAACAAACAGGGCTCCAAAGCGGACACCTGTCGATTGTAACCTACAGTGTGTACGCCTGTGTAGGTCAAAGCCCCGATAGCTACCCCATCTTGCTCCCGGACAAGGTCCCAATCCATATGTCGAGGGACGGAAGCGCACTGATAGTAAGCGATAGGAAACATCCTATGCATATCAGGAAGAAAGAAGCGGCGATCTCCTATTTACCTCAACCACTTATAGTGGCCGTCAGTCACGATTTCTTTTTGGATGATGACATGATCGCCAAACAGGAATGCCGGTTTGGTAAGTTTTTTACGGGAGTCGGTTTCGAATTTGGCATCTGTCACCAAAATCCTGAGTACAGCTAGGCTTAGATTTGAGATCAGGGTAATACGATCCTTGTCTACATCCTAAAAAATTAGGAGTTCCTGACGCAGACTGAATTGCATATTGGAATCTACGCCACCCTCGCGCCCGAAATGGTGACGAAGAATAAGAGGTTCGCAGGAGTAAGGCACTATAAAAAGAGAAAAGTACTCAATTAGTCAATGAGGAAATAAAACAAAAGGGAATTTTAATCAAAATCCCTAGAGGATTGAGAGATTTCGAACGCACAGTTCAAACCTGGCGTTGAATTTTATCAACGCAGAGGTCGAACTCAGCATTAAGATTTCAAACGCACAGTTCAAACCTGGCATTGAGCTTTATCAACGCAGAGGTCGAACTCAGCGTTAAGCTTTCGAACGCATAGTTCAAACCTGACGTTGAATTTTATCAACGCAGAGGTCGAACTCATCGTTAAGCTTTCGAACGCACAGGTCAAACCTGGCGCTAAATTTCACCAAACGCAGAAGTCGGACTCCGACGTTTCAAATTCGAAACGCAAAGTTCCAACTCTGTGTTACAATATCAAAAAAACAAGTCATCTTCCTCGTTCACAAGAACCCATCTAGGGTTTTCAAAGAACTCGCCAAAGCAAGTTTTGTGGCCATGAAGGTCGATACTTACCACCGACGAGGGAAGCCTGTACCGACGGCGCACTAGCCTGAGTTCCATCACCGCCGACTGCCGAGGTAGACCGAGAACGCAGAGCAGCGGCAGCAGCCGACCTTTGACGAATGACGGTCTTCTTTCTGGGCCCATTGAGGATGATGATCGGGGAAGATGAACAGGGTTCACCGGAGTTCAAAACGAAATCTTCGTTAAGCTTTTTGAGAAAAGACAGATGAAAAGTCAGATGACTTTTGATTTGACCCAGCGGTCTATTTATAGACAGCTATGAGCTGTCAAATCAGGGCGAGATTCTAGGCCCAGAATCCCGCCAAACGCGGCCTGTGCGTTTGCGTTGGTTGAGCTTCTGAACGCAGAGCTCAACTCTGCGTTCCATGTCCTTGGCAACCAACCTGTGCGTCGTATGAGCTTCTGAACGCAGAGTTCAGCTCTGCGTTCCGGTTCTTTGGCAGTCCATCTGTGTGTTTTAATGCAACCAAACGAATTTCCCGATGCTAGAGGCCAAGACACAACCTTGAATAAATAGGGGGAAGTAGAAGTGGCCATCAAGGTGACCAAAGCTAAGAAGAAACAGATGACTCCGCTGGGGAGTCGGTAGTATGAATATAGATAGATTACAATCGATAGCATTAAAAATCGTCTGGCTCGATCCGACGCGCAACTCATCCCAACAAAGAGTAAGTTGAGCTGATCAAGAAAGGAAATAAAGTGAAATTCTCTGAGATTGTCCTCCTAATTAAATGTAGGATAAAATTTCTCTCATGTGGGCTTGCGATTCTCTCTGTCTATGACAATGGATCTGTCTTAAGCCCAGAAGTATTCAACCTCATGGGGGATGACCTCGTTGACAAGTTTGCAACTAGTGTTTCTATGGTTGCTACGCTATCCTCCGCTCTCTCTTACCCGACTCTCACGGCGGCGCATCACATGTTCGTTAATACCTACAAGAACGTCCTTGCTGTCGTTGTTGTCCCTACTGTATCTACTAAGAATGATTGTTGTTCCTATCTCCAAGGAAGTAGAGAAAAAGGACGAGCCTGTCAATGAGTCTGACGATGGATTAGGATTTGTTTCATTTGACTAAGGTCATTGTCATCAAGACTCAAAGGTTATGATGTTTGGTTCAGGGTAACATAATTTCAACATTACAACGACCAGATTTGCGACGTCTTCAAATCAGACAGAGTGAACAATAATTACATTAAATTTTGGGATCCAAAGTATTCCGAAAATTCGTCCCAGTCAACCGCGAACTTTCGAAAACTTTGGAGGGGGTTCTGTAGGCTGTCTAAAAATCACAATGGATAGCTGGTCCCTAATCAAGCCTCACCAATGGAAGTTGCAATCAGACGACTTTCTAATCACTGCTCTACAATCGCTACAAACACGGTCTCATATTTGAGATGATTGATCTTGATGGCTGCGACAACAACATGACTAATATTATATTAGCAACTATTAGAGATGCTGATGAGCAGTATAATGATTTCAGAAATAGAAAGTTGGACTTAGTTGATGAGTTGCTTGGTAGAGAGCTGTGGGCAAATATTCATTTACAAATCACAATGGATAATTGGTCCCCATCAAGTTCCAACAATGAAAGCTACAATCAGATAGCTTTCATGTCAACAAATGAAAGCTGCAAATGGAGGACTTATCACATAGATCGAGAAGAGTTACAATTCGACGACACTTCCGACAACTGATAAAAACTCTATTCAGTAGCCTTCATAATCAATCGTGAGAGTTACAATCTGACGACTTTCACACCCCATAACAAGCAAAGATCAATGAGCCATAGCCTTTGCGATGCTGTAATGGATGAGGTTACAATTCAACAACCTCTCCCAAACGCAGAGTCCACTTCTGCGTTTCCCAAACTCAAAACGCATACGAACTGTGCGTTCTCTAGTTGATATTCAACTCTGCAACGCAGAGTTAAAACACAAAACGCACGGACTGTGCGTTCTTCAGCAAACACCCAACCCTGCGTCTCAAACTCAAGACACAGAGCTGAGGTTCAGCACACAAACGACTTGTGCGTTTCAAGTCTCTAACAGAGATTTAACTCTGCGTCTCAAGCCTCAGGCGCAGAGTTAAGACCCAGAACGCCAAATTAGGCGTTTGACTTGTTCAAACACAAGCCGAACTGCCTCAAAACCGTTTATCCCACGTTCTGAGGGATTTTCGCCCACTTAGGAGCGGATTTAGGGGTTAGTTATACCCCTAATCCCCCTATAAATAACCGACTTACTCAACTGAGTAAGAGGTGGACGTGTGCTGGCATTAAAACCGCTTAAGGTTAGCAGATCTCGGTAGCAAAAAACCGCACAAAGGAGGAGATTTCTCTGGAGATCAACAAACTACTCAGTAGTTAGCAAATTGAATCTGAGGGGATCCCTTCATCAACGACAAATCAACTTGGCTGTCAACCGAATCTTCGGTTCTAACAACTCTGTTACAGAGTTTCAACTCGCTCTGAGTTCTAAAACTCGTTTAAGAGTTCATAATTAAACTTGTAACGCAGGTTAATTATACTAATCAGTAACTCGGTTTTCAACAACTCTTTTTAGAGTTTCCAACTCGTTCTGAGTTTCTTATACTCGTTAAGAGTTCTAAACCGAATTCATC